TCTGTGTCCCTGTGTCTTCACCTTTTAAGGACACCACTCGTATTGGATTATAGACTCCCTCTACCCCAATATGACCTTGTTTACCTAGTTACATCTGCAACAAACCTTTCCAAATGAGGTCACATTCTGAGCTACTGGGGGTTAGGACTTCAATATCTCTTTTTGGGAAACACAGTTCAACCAATAACACCACTTTAGGACATGCGGTTACAGAAAAGGGCAGGAAGAACCTTAGCAAAGATACAGGTTCGGTTCAATTCCAGCTTCAGCCTGATCCCAATGGGGAGTTGTGGAGCCTGAATGGCATCACAGAGTTGCCCCCTATCAAGGCTAAGGGGCTAGTGGCCTCTTGTTCTCCCTGACTCAGTCAGCCACTGGCTGCTGACATCCCTGAAGGGAAGATGTATCCTGGTGGACATTTCTGAGTTGGGTTTCCATTCACCCTCAGGCAGTAGTTGTCAAACTTTACTGTACACCAGAAACTGACAGCTAGGCCCAATCCCAAGTTTCTGACTCTGTAGGCTGGGGTATGGTTTAAATATTTGCATTTTAAACCAGTTCCCTGGTGATACTGATGCTGCTGGTCCAGGGACCACACTCTGAGAAACACTACCTAGGGCAGTTCTCAGAAGGGAGCAGCTGCAACCTGTCAGCAGCAATACTCAGAGAAGTGGGGGGATGGGACAGCTGCCCGGAGGGACAGGGAGATCTAGACAGGGCAGCAACAATGTGGTAACTGGAGCATCCTTCCTCAGAAATCTGGGGTACATGGGGAGGGGGAAATTAACCCAAAAGGGCTGAGAGGGGTCAGTGTCCTTAGGTGACAGCCAGGTTTTTGCTGTGGCAAAACAGGAGAGAAGCCTCGAGGTCGTAGAAAGAGGAACAGTACCGCTGTAGGCTGCCAAGTTGTCTGGGTAAAAAGTTAGAAAAAGAGGTCTCTATGTTTTCCATAATCAGTGAGACAAGTGGGGTGAACAGGAATGAACCAGGCGATTTTAACAGTATAGAAGTATTCTTGGATCTCCCCTGCACGTCTTGTGAGGGAATGCGCTGCCACCGCCAATTCACTCCTATTTTCAGTCTCTCTCTCCTATTTTGAATCATTGGGTGGCTGTCAACTATGCAGATGGGAGATACAAACCTGCAGCTCTCTCAGGGGAACTTGGTTCCCAGGTTAAGGAGGCTAATGTTTAAAGAGAAGTATTCTTCCTGCAACATCACCTCTAAACACAAGCTCACCACTGCATTTGGCATCTCAACTGAAGAAACAGCACTTTGTTCCAGTTCTGGGGGAAAACTTACTGTATTTGTTCTCCTTTGTGGTACACGCTTAAGTGATTTTCAGGTCAGTGTATCTGTATATGATTTTTGCCTTAAATTCTGCTATTCAAGGTATTACTCTACTATATGTCTGTATTGATTTCCTTTTGCTACTGTAACAAATTACAACAAATTTGGTGGCTTAAAACAACAGAAATTTATTCTTTCACAATCCTGGAAGCCACAAGTCCAAAATCAGGTTCACTAAGCCAAAATCAGCGTACTGCACTCCCCCTGGAGGCTCTAGTGAAGTGAAGTGGAGTCACTCACTCATGTCCGACTCTTTGCGACCCCGTGGACTGTAGCTTACCACGCTCCTCTGTCCATGGGATTTTCCAGGCAAGAATACTGGAGTGGGCTGCCATTTCCTTCTGGAGGCTCTAAGGGGGACTCAAATGTCTGCCTCTTCCAGTTTCTGGTAGTTGCCAGCATTTCTTGGCTTGTAGCAGCATCACTACAGTCTCTGCCTTTATGTTCACACTGCCTTCTCCTATCAAATCTTCCTCCGCCTCCCCCTTATAAGGGTCCTTGTGATTGCTTTTATGGTCCAGCTGAATAATCCAGAGCAATCTTCCCACTTCAAGATTTTTAATCACATCTGCAAAATCTCTTTTGCAATGTAAAGTAATACCCAAGGATATCTGGAATTAGAATAGGAACATGTTTGAAGCCATTATTCAGTCTATCAAAATATCCATCAAAACTGTGTGTGTGAGTGAGAGAGAGAGATCAAGAAAGAGAGACAGAGAATGAGTGAGAGAGGGTATAATGGGTGAGACCAAAGCTATGGTTTAATTTGGATACCACTGAGCCAACTCAGCTATGTTCATACATGTAAATTGATCTCCAGAGAGGAGAAGCTAGTTGCTGCTCAAGAGGCTTTTATACTCTGCTTTGAACACACCAGGTGGATCTTCAATTACAATATTTCCCAAGTTTTAGCTTAACAAAGCAATTTCTAGCTCCCCATCCTCTCCATGTGTTGTTTTCAGTAAACACACATTTGGTCTTGTGTGAATAAAGATTTCTCAAAGCCCTGTTTAGGGATCCATATATCCTCTCCCATTTGTCTGATTCCACCACCCCCACTCCATCCCCCTCGCTAGATTTTCAAATGCTTTAAGGAACAATCAGTTTGCTGACACATGGAATCCAATTTTCCAAATTTTCTAATGAGGCTAAACTCAGCCAGTAGAAGCCAGGAACTGCCTTTCATCAGAAGACAAGGATTGCATGTTTCTATGCATATTGTCAAACTTTCTTGAAAATGGAAAGGTGGAAAACTGACTCATGCCTGTAACAGTCAACCCATTTTTAAATCCCCCCTCTAAACTAAGACGCTTAAGAATTATAAAAATATTGTAGTAATACATTTGGAGGATTCTATTCAGAATGTGTATGTGTGAAGTCACTTCAGTCACGTCTGGCTGTTTGTGACCCTATGCGCTGTAGCCCTCCAGACTCCTCTGTCCATGGGATTCTCCAGGCAAGAGTACCGGAGTGGGTAACCATCCCCTTCTCCAGGGGATCTTCCCAACCCAGGGACTGAAGCCACGTCTCTTAAGTTTCCTACATTGACAGGCAGGTTCTTTACCACTAGTGCCACCTGGGCAGCCCTTCTATTCAGAATATATGCATAGAAAAGATCAGAAGGTGCTAAAATCTCCCTATTAATACAAGGCAGTTATACTAGTTAGAGAAAGTTCAAGAGAATTCAGGTTATAGCCCCATTTTCCTTCACTGATATGAATGATAATGTGAAAGAACGCAGACCTTGCAAAACTTCAGATTCATTTGAATTCAGAATTTGTTGTTTCAGAGGCAGCTAGCTTAAGATCCAGATCACATGTAGAAACTGGATAGGATAAATGAAATGGTTGAATACACATAGCTCAAGTTTTTCCCAAGAAGCCCACCACAATAGCTGTAATTACCATCATAAACAGAAAACAGGAAAGCTTGAAATGCTAAAGATAAATTATTTGTGGATTTATCTAAACTATTAATACTTCTACCCTGGATAATATGATTAAACTCTGTCCACTGTTCAGTCCTAACTTACTTGCCCATCCATATCTCCTATTTGTATCTACCTTGAGACGTATTAATTTTAAACATCCCTCCCCCGCCAGGAATACCCACTTTTTTTTACTCTCCATTGGCCAAAACCTATCCATAGTTCAAACTTTACATCTTGTTTAAAGTCCTCCTAAATCATTCAGTTTATGTAGACTAACACATATACACACACACACATTGAACTTGATAGAATTCTATCAATTTTTTTTATGTATTGTACATTCCTTTGTACTATTTAATTACAAGGATCACTAAACAGATGATGAAGAAAGAGATGTAAACCTTTTGCCAACCCTTCAATTCCTAGGCCAATTTCTTAAGAGCTGCTTCTTTTTTTTTTTCTTTTTCAGAAATTGCTAGAAGCAGGGGATAGAGTAAGTGCTAGATCCCTGGCTGATACTTGAACCTAAGACTTTTGGAACCTTGATAGGGAAGAGGGAAGCTGGAAAACTGCCATTTCAAAGCATCTAGCAGTTTAGTGTGTGCAAAAAGTAGAGAGGTACATATACTTCTCTTTGTTCTGGAAAAACTAACTGGATGGTATATTTACAAAGGTAAAGACTGCAATCTAAAATAATAATAATAATAATAATGTTTGAGACTGGTTCCAAGAGGTTTAGGGCCTAAAGCTATAGTGAATGATAATGTCTGTTCTGTTGGCAGTTACAGCTCAGTAGAATGATAGTCCCTTGAGAAAATGTTTTCTTTCCAAGTACGCATTTGAAACTGCTGCGTTGCTGGAAAGCTTTGGCTCTTTGTCATTCATGGGAGGTTGTGAGTGTGTGTTAGGGAGATGCTGTCAAGGACTCAGCAACTGAGCGCTAAAGGCAAGGCAGCTCTTTGCAAGAGAGAAATTGCAAGACTCTGGATCTGGGTCAAGGAGCTGCTTTGAAGCATAGGTCTCTCTACTACCATTAACACTGCTCTAGCCCTCCAAGTCGGACATGACTGACGTGACTTAGCATCATCAGCAGCAGCCCTCCAAGAAAGATGGCTTTGGGAAGGCAGTCTCCCTGGAAAATACTGTTGGCTACCCATACAATGGAACTCCCCACTTCCACTCTGCCAACAGAAGAGAGGTAATCTAATTTGGGGTATCGATGTGTGGAGCCCAAGGGGATGGCTAATTGACTAAGCCAGTTATATTCATTCTGTTCCCCCTTAGCAGATGATCACTTTCTCGGTTTTTCTTGAAGGGCAGTTCAGGAGACATAGTTCTGAACAATGAGATGTACAGGAAATCTTCCGGGTGTGTGTGATGGAGGAGGACACGTCATCTGAGAAGGGTTTTCTCCTCTGAATAAAAGAAGCTCCTGCTTTAGACCATAGCGTCTGGAGTTGTGAAAGGACAAAAAACCAACATGCTTCTTGCCATGGTGGAAAGATGCAGAGAGCCTGTGCTGCTGATAACTGCTAGTTTCAAACCTACAACTGCTTTCCTCCAGACTTTACATTATGCCAAGTAATTACGTCTTTATTTCTAAAGACACTACCAGGTGGGTATTCTGTTGTTGTTGTTTAGTCATTAAGTCATATCTGAATCCTTTGTGACCTCATGGACTGTAGCCCACCAGGCTCCTCTGTCCATGGGATTCTCCAGGCAAGAATACTGGAGTGGGCTGCCATTTCCTTCAGCAGATCTCCCCCGCGTCTCTCTCATTGGCAGGCGCACGCTTCTCCACGGAGCCACCAGGGAAGCCGCAGGTATTCTCTTGTTGTTCAGTCACTCAGCTGTGTCAGTCTGCAGCCCGACAGACCACAGCACACCAGGCTTTTCTGTCCTTCACTCTCTTCTCTGGGTTTGCTCAAATTCACGTCCATTGAGGTATTCCGTTACTGCAGCCAAATGTATCCTAAATAATAGAGCACTTCACTTTGATCACTGAGAATATCAGCAGCAGAGACCATGCTGAGATAAAACGCTCACCAGCCAAGAACCTGAGTATTTCCTGAACAACTGTGAGACCATTTTCTAGGGATTCTCAGAAGCATGGCCAAGTTCTTGTGCAGAAGGTTGTGGCTCAAAGTCATTACAGGCTGGACTTAATACAAATATGATTTTAGTTGGACTCATAACATGGTGAGTTACAGAGGGCAGACGCTGACAGTCGGATTTCCCACAATGATTGGTTGACTATATCTATTCAAATTGTCTGTCTCAGTGCTACTCAAAGTACCAATCTGCAATGAGAATACGGAGATTGCACCAGAATGTAAACCAACATACTTGCTTCCTTCCTCCAGAAGTCTTGCCACAAAAACAAGTAAGCTGAACCAAACACTGTGCTTAGTGATGTAGTTGCTTTGCATTTGGTAACAAGTCCCTGATCTCCCTATCTTTTTGCTAATTGGTAACAGAGAGTTTGCAGATCCATAGCTGATCCACAACCACACAGGCCAATGAGTTGGCAGTCAGGTACCAGTGTAGCCTGCTTATGATTATTTACCAGGAGAGGAATCTCATGATTCTGCTCTGAAACCTGCTTCAATGATTCAACAGTGGAAGGGCTTCTTTACATCTCAGTAAAGAAAATCACACCAAATTCCTTTGAGATTTTCTTTAATAGTACTGAGGAAGTATATTTGTAGGCATCACTGCCCACTTATAAAAAAAAGTCTGTATTTCTCTAATTTAAGTATTAAACTAATTTGAAATTTGCTTGCAAGTGAGAAGGTGGTAAGTGTTTAGCCAAGCAGATGGTTTTAAGTACAGATTATTTCATGTTCTGTGTGGCTTCCACTTAGGTCTTTCAACTATGCTCAATATAGCACAATCCTCTTTTCCATAAAATTGAAAACAATGACTAAGGAACTTCCCTGGTGGTCCAATGGCTAAGATGCTGTACTCCCAGTGCAGGAGGCCTGGGTTTGATCCCTGATGGGGGAACTAGATCCTACATGTGGCAACTAAGACCTGATGCAGTAAAATAAATAAATGACCAGTTTAAAAATAATTACTAAATATCTAAGTTATCATTCAGAAAGTGCATCAGCTATGAGAAATAGAAACTTAAAAAAAAAAACAGTGGCCGTATGTTCTGTTTTTCTTACATGAGAGAATTCTGGAGTTAACTGGCTCTGTGTTGGGATAGTGGCTCTGTGATGTCATCAAGCCCAGGTTTGCTGTCTTCCCACTTGGCCGTCCTTGGCTGTTACTTCATGGTCTCAGGTTGGTGACTCTGCTGTCATATTCATATTCCTATTCCAGGCAGAAAAGAAGGAAGAGAAAAGAGCAACAGGCATGTAGTAGCTAGTGGTGACCTCTTTTACAGAGTTTTAGCAAATGGCCCACCAATGAACTTCCACTCTTTTATCACTTTGGCCAGAAAACTGAGGCATGGTCACCTGTTGCAAGGTAAGAACAACAAAAAAACTTTTGTGTTTACTTCTTGTATTAGTTTTCTAGAGATGCCATAATAAAATACTACAGACTGAAAAAAAGTACTGCAGGTTGGATGACTTAAACAATAGAACTTTATTTTCTCATAATTCTGGAGGCGAGAAGTCTAAGATCAAGGTGTCAGCAGTGTTGGTTTCTTCTGAGATGTCCTTCTTTGGTTTGTAGATGGCTATCTTCTCTCTCGGCTGAGCCACCAGATAAGACTCTGCCTGACAATGAAGGAGACACAGGTTCGATCCCTGGGTCAGGAAGATCCCCTGGAGAAGGAAATGGCAACCCACTCCAGTATTCTTGGCTGGGAAATCCCGTGGACCGAGGAGCCTGGCGGGGTACAGTCCATGGGGTCGCAAACAGTTGGACATGATTCAGCAACTAAACAAGAACGACCTTCTCTCCGTGCCTTCACATGGTCTTTCCTCTGTGTGCATTTGGGTCCTAATTTCCTCTTCTTATAAAGACAACAGCCATACTGAATTAAGGCCCCTCTAACGGCCTCATTTAACCTTAATTCCCTCTTTAATGATCCTCTCTCTAAACACAGTGACATTGTGAGGTACTGGGGTTAGGACTTCAGAATAGAAGGTACATGACTCTGTACCTGATTCAGCCCACAACAGGGTACATGATTCAGCTCACAACACTCTTCCAAACATAATCAGGGTTCTGTTAGTGAGAAACAAGGGGGGGTCAGATGTTTTGAGAGAACAGCATAGAAACATGTTTATTATCTAGGGTGAAACAGATCACCAGCCCAGGCTGGATGCATGGAACAAGTGCTCGGGCCTGGTGCACTGGGAAGACCCAGAGGAATCGGGTGGAGAGGGAGGTGGGAGGGGGGATCGGGATGGGGAATACATGTAACTCCATGGCTGGTTCATATCGATGTATGACAAAACCCACTACAATATTGTAAAGTAATTAGCCTCCAACTAATAAAAATAAATGAAAAAAAAAAAGAAACAAGGGGAAAATTAACGTAGGGTAGACACTGCAATACCTGCCAGACCTACTATATTGCTTGATTTTCTTTAAACAAACAAACAAACAAACAAACAGAAAAGCTTGAAAACTGCCCCCAATTCAATTTAGACATTTATCAACATGATGCATGATGAGGTCTACCTAGCTGTAATTAAAGGCCTGCTTGTTTATTTAAGGTGTTTCATTATTTTTTTTTTATAATGAAAGACTTTCCCAGCTGCTGTGAGCTATGTTCTCCTTACGAATACTCTAAAAGACACAGCAGCAGGTGTCCATTATGTTGAATAGCAATTAAAACAAGTAACAGAGAATTTGCTTGCTTGTGGATCACTTATTTTTAATGTTTGCTGAGGCCTTATAATTCAATTTATAATTAAGCAGGGCAAACTGTTCCTTCCTAATTTTTTAGTGTCAGAAGATTTTTATCTCTCTTGATCATTAAGTGAATTAAGTACAAATCCTTAACTTTGTTGGTGATATTTTTTCTTTTATTATTAAGTGAGCCATTATACTAATTAAATGAACCTGCTAAGAAGCTACCTGTAATGTTACTATACATATGTCTGTACTTCAAAGGCTTAGAGAAATGCTACATCTTATGAAGTCTGAGAAATAATTAGGCAAAATTCTTTTGAGATCTTGCTTTTAATTTTTTTTAATGTATAACAGTTCTGTTGAAATATAATTTCCTGTGGTGGCCTAAATGTGAAGGAAATCCAAAAAAGAGGGGATATATGTATGACTGATTCACTTTGCTATACAGCAGAAAGTAACACAACATTGTAAAGCATCTATACTCCAATAAAAAAATTTTTCAAAGAAACATAATTTCACCTATTAAAAAAGTCATACTTATAAATAAACTCAGCAGTTTTTAGTACATTCAGAGTTGTGCAAATCACTACTATCTAATTCCAGGACATCGTTATCACCCCCAAAAGAAACTTCATTCCCACTAGTATTCACCTCCCCCCATTTCCTCCTCCAGCCTTGGCAACCACTAATCTACTTTCTGTCTCTATAGATCTGCTTATTCTGGACATTCCCATAAATGGAATCATACGATGTGTGGTCTTTTGTGTCTGGATTCTTTCACTTAATGTTTTCAAGGTCCTTCCATGTAAGTCACATGCATCAGTACTTTATTATTATTGTTATTTTACAGGGTGATATTTCATTGTACAAATCTTGCTTTGACTTCAAGATATAATTACTATCAGGGATTTTATATTAATTCCCTGATTCCTTAGAGAGGAACAGAAAAGCATCCTGGAATTCTAGTCCCAACTGTTGACCGTTATGGACCTCAGTTGTGCATCTATAAAATGGAAAGTTTTTCTTTTATCCTTTAAGGACCCAGCTTATAAGAATCTCCACTGAATCCCCTGATTATACTTTTTCCTGCAATAAAAGGAAATTTACCCATATTTGTTTCAATTTTATCTAAACTAGATTTTTTCCCCTACAAGACGTAAAGTTTTTTCGCATGTTCTTTTCTTTTTCAGTTATTTCAAAAACAATGAACTGAACTTTCAGAAGCATCTAAATGCATATATGGATCATTTTGTAAACAACTAGGCTTGGAGACAAATAAACAAAAAGAATAAATGTGAAAAAATTTAGTTCTCCTGGAAATGATTCAAGGATAAAGAATAAATACAACACCTATTTGTGCCTGTCAGATGAAGAAAGAGGATACTGATTATTTCAATCCTCAGTCTTTAATGAGGGAGAAATTTATTCATGCAAACATACACGCAGTAAATGTATGCCATTTCTATTTGTGAGCCCATATGGTTCAGAAATAGAAGAATCTAGTAGTCAAACCCACCTGCAAATTCCCCAATCTACATAAAAAAGACAAACCACACCCATCATGCCTAATAACAAATTCTTTTTGCATCTGGTTTAACTGAGCTTAAAAAAGGATGCCCTTCTCCTATTATATAATCTCATTCCAGAATCTGTCTCTTTCATTCAATTCACCGGGGACTCCGTGGGTGGGAGTTGAGAGTGTAGATGTCAGAACTGATTATCCCACCACTGTGTATTTTACAGTAGAGAAAAAGACCAAGAGCAGCTGGGTGAGAAGTAAATAAGTATGCGATATACATAAATGAAAATAAAGGGGTTTGAAAGAATATGTAACAAACATATGGTTGCTGGTGGGGGATAAAGGGATAGTTAGGGAGTTTGGAATGGACATGTACACCCTGCTGTATTTAAAATGGATAACCAGGGACTTCCCTGGTGGTCCAGTGGCTAAGACTCTGAGCTCCTAGTGCAGGGGGCCCAGGTTTGATCCCTGGTCAGGGAGCTAGATCCCACTTGCTACAGCTAAGACCCACGGCAGCCAAATAAATAAATAAAAATAAAATAAAATAAAATAAAATGGGTAACCAACAAGGACCTATTGTATAGCACATGTAACTCTGCTAAATGTTGTGTGGCACCTTGGATGGGAGGAGATAAAACCCTCCCATAAGGACACACATATATGTATGCCTGTGTCCCTTTGCCGTTCACCTGAAACGATAACAACATTGTTAATCGGCTATATCTCCATACAAAATAAAAAGTTCAAAAGCAAAAAAAAAAGAATATCTAATAAACGGTTAATAGGACAGGAATGCCTTTGTAAGGACACAGTGGCAGATAAATCCAGGGACCTGCTACTTCAGTGAAGTTTCTGGGAGCTCAGCTGACTGCAACATGCCAGAGTGTGTCCCTCCAAAACGTGAAGGCCAAGGTGGTGTACTCTGCATCAATTCCCAAAGGGAGGAGTACAATGCTTAATGGACCTCCTAGGATTTAGAGACAACATACACCACATATAAGTGCCTGATTCCCATCCAGTTACTGCATGACCCTCAAGGCAACCTGCTTTGAATGGAGCAGAGCTGGTCTCTCTCCAGCTGGTCTAGGCTAACATGAGTCCCTTATAGCAACATACCCATTAGAGTTTGAGATGTCTGTGGCAGATCCAAAAAGCTACCTTCAAAGAATCACTGCCCAGGCTCCTAGAGTTTCATAGGAAAGCCATACCTTCGTTGAAAATGATGATTTTCCTTTTGAAAAAGAGCTTTTGGCTTGCTACTATGCCCTAGTCGAGACTTAACACCTATCTGCATTAGTTGCCACTGAAAAAATTAACACAAATGTAGCGGCTGTAGTAGACTGTTGTGGCCACCCAATGATCAAGTCCTAATTCTGGAATCTGTGAATGTTATGTTATAAGGAAAAAGGATCTCTTTTGCACATGTGATTCAGTTACAGATCTTGAGATGGATTGATTATCCTGGATTATCTGGGTGGGCCCTGAAAGCACTCACAAATGACCTCATAAGAGAGAGGAAAGGGAGATTTGATAAGGAGGAGAAGAAACACAGAGAAGACAATGTGAAGATGAAAGCAGAGATTGGACTGATGAGACCACCAGCTTGACCAGCAGCCACCAGAAGCAGAAAAGCCAAGTGTGGATTCCCCTCTAGGGCCTCCAGAGGGAGGGCAGCTCTGACCTCAACTTGATGGTAGCCCAGAGATACCAACTCCAAACTTCTGGATTCCAGAGCTGGGAGAGAATAAAATCTTGTTGTTTTAATCCATCAAGTTTGTGTTAACTTGTTACAGCAGCCACAGGAAATTAATATAGTGGCTGAAAACAATACAGATTTTATTCTCTTACCATTCGGAAGGTCAGAAGTCTGAAATTGATTTCACTGGGCTAAAGTCAAATGAGTGGCAGCCCTCGTTCCTACTGGGAGCTCTGAGAGGAGAATCCATTCTCTCGTCTATTTGTTTTTGTTTGTTTTGTTTTGTTTCTTGTCTTCTGGTGACTGTGGCCCTTGGCTTTTGGGCCCTTCCTCCTCCTCCAAAGAGCATCACTCCAGTCTCTGCTTTTTTTAAGTGATTGCTTATCTTATTTATTTATTTATTTTGGCTGTGCTGGGTCTTCATCGCTGCTCCAGCTTTTCTCTAGTTGCAGTGCATGGGCTTCTCTTATTGTGGAGCATGGGCTATAGAGTGCATGGGTTTCAGTAGCAGCTATGGCATGTGGCTTAGTAATTGCGTTTCCAGGGCTCTAGAGTATAGGCTCTGTAGTAGTGCCTGGACTCAGTTGCCCCATGGGCATGTAGAGTCTTCCTGGATCAAACCCCTGTCTCCTGCATTGGCAGGCGAATTCTTTACCACTCAGCCACCAGGGAAGCTCCAGTCTCCTCTTCTGTCATCCTATTGCATTTTCCTCTGACTCCTCTTACGCTGCTCTTATAAAAAATGTTGTGATTACACTGGATCCATTCAGATAAACCTTCCCATCTCAAGATTCTTAACCACATATGCCAAGTCCCTTTTGCCACAGAAGGTAGCATTCATAGGTTCTGGAGATGAAAATGCAGATGTATTGAGGGGCCATTATTTAGCCTACCACACAATCTAACCATTGGATTTCAACGGACTGTGCAATCTAATCTTCCCATCATGAACTGAGGTGTTATCTGACCCAGAAAATGCTAAATTTGTATGCAGTTGCATTCCATCTTCTAGGAAAAAGATCAGGCCCAAGCAAGTCCTGTAGACAGCCGCATTTTTCACAAACATGCAGCTTACATTCTTAATATTCCTACTCCTGATGCACTGCCACATCCTCCTCATCTAATCAGTTATGACAATTGCCTGGAGGATAATAAACTTATTATTAGAAAGGTTTTTAGACTCATTCTGCATACTGTGTTGGCACCTTCTGTAAGTGAACTGTCTCACCATTACAGTGCCACTCAGGTGGGCTGTGAAGAGCAATGAGGCAGACACATCCTCTCAGTGAGGAGAATGTGGAGCAGCAGATGTGTTAATCCTCTGCTTGGAAATGGAGATGCCCCAAAGGATAAGCCAATATTGACTCATGGGCAAGGGCTGCCAATTTGGCTCGATGGTTAGGGTCTTGGAAGGAACCAGAGTGAAATATTAGAGATAAGGAAGCCTGGAGAAGAGGTATATGATGGTGGAGCAGACTTCTATTTTCCAAAGAGTGCCACACCAGTATATCCCACATACGTGTGCTCCTTACAACATGACATCAACACTCCTCCATTGAGAGATGAGGTCTATATTTCCTTTCCTGGAGCCTGGGCAGGTCATGGCAGAAGCAATGTCACATGACTTCTAAGGCTGTCATAGAAGGCAATACAGCTTTCTTCTAGTCCTCTTGGGATGGTTGCCTTTGGAACCCAACAATCACGCTATGAGGAAGCCAAGTGGCCAACTAGAAAAGCCACATGTGGATAGGTTTTCCAGCCTCAGCCCCAGTTGAAGACCCAGAAGGCAGCCATATCAACCTCCAGACGTGAGTGAGCAAGACTTCGGCATAATCCAACCTCCAGCCTTCAAACCACTTCAAGTGACCCTAAGAAGAAAAGAAACATGCTATTCCTGTGAGGTCTGCCTGCATAGCAGATTCATGAGCAAAATAAATGTCTTCAGCCTTTAAGTTGGGATTATTTGTTACATGGCAATAGACAGATAAGCTCTCAGAAATGTCTCAAAGTGTAAAATTATTTGTGCCCTTATGAAAGTTTGCCAAAAGTCAACCATTGCACATGAGGCTCTCAAAACCCTGGTGGACAAGTAGAATTGCTCAGGGATGTCAGTCAGACTCCCTGGATGTATTCAATGGACTTGTGAATAGATAGCCATGCTGAGAAGGATGAATTTTGCCTCACCAAGGCTAATCTGCTGGGTACTCACTGCTAAGCTCTGCCAATGGCAAAACCCAGCAGTGAGCCCATAATACAGTGCTATGGTAGTACCATAAGGGCTTTGCTGGTGGCTCAGCCGGTACCAAATCTGCCTGCAATGCAGAAGACCCAGGTTCAGTCCCTGGATTGGGAAGATCCCCTGGAAAAGGGAATGGCAACCCACTCCAGTATTCTTGCCTGGGAAATCTCATGGACAGAGGAGCCTGCAGGCTACCGTCCATGGGTTCACAAAGAGTCAGACACAACTGAGCAACTAAGCATGCACACACACACATAGTACCATAAACTAGTACTCAGAGGCAGGGGGACTACACAGGAAACCTTCCATCATAGGGAAGCAGAGACTGTTCTAACGAAATAGAGATGGATTCTGGCTTATGGATCATCTTTCCTCTTCGTCATATTTCTACCACACTTAATAAATGCCATGTTCACAAAACTAGTGACCAAAGAGCTAAACTGTGCAGAAAAATAAAGTACGTGATATACTGATGCCTATAGCAATCACTGAGCTTACCATGCATTCCATCACCCAGAAGCAAGCACTCTGACAGAACCACAGCATGACTTATTGAAGACTCACTCATGGTGTCACCTGGGAAATAATACTGTGTTATATAAAAAATAAATAAGGGGCTAAGATAGAATAATAGGGACCCGATTTATGCTCTCAAGTGTAACAACAACAAAAGGACACAGTATTTGGGAAAACAGTTTTGGTGACACTAGACATCAGGCAATAAAGATTGTGATCTCTGAGAAACAAGGAACAAAGGACCTCACTTTCAACGTGGGGCAGGGGTGGGGGATGTGGAAGAGCAGGTTCAGTTGCTGGTTGGGAAACTAAGGTCCCACATGCTGTGGGGCAAGGCCAAAAAACAAATAAATAAAATTTTCGAAAAGAAACGAGTGAGGTAAACTCTATGATTACCTTAGCTTACTGGCTTGAGAGAGTTTCTAGGCTGTAGTGCAGGAGGACAAAACCAAATAGAGCCGGGTGGAGTCCCTGAGTTCAGGAGAAGGACCTGAGGGTCCAGGGAGACAGAGTTCCCACGACAGAACACCAGGTGGGAGAGAGTGACACATAGGGAAGAACCCCAGGGATCTACAGAGGTTACTGCTTTGGAATTCAGCGTGTCTCATGTGGTGAGGAAAATACCTTAGGCCAGAGAGAGGAGTGCCTGGTGTCTGCACAGGATTTGAAATAGTGCCTACCAATCAGACCAGAAAAACTTCATAGTCCACAGGGCATTGGGTAGTTCTTGGAAGGTTCTCGCCTCAGTAGTGGAAAATAATTAGCCCTAGACAAATCCTAGCTTATTGGCTCAGATGGTAAAGAATCTGCCCGCAATGCCAGAGACCCAGTTTCAATCCCTGGGTCAGAGAGGCCCCCTGGAGAAGGGA